AAACAACGGCTCTGTCGCCCAATCGACCAACCGCATGGTGCGGAAAAATTCGATCCCCCGCGACACGCAACTTGGCACGAAAGTCGACGCGTCGCCAAGCAGCGAATATGCAACGCGCAGGCACACACGTAGTATACCACTGCTTTGCTCGTCCCCTTAGAGCTAGGAATGAAAAAAATTACCCTAGCCTGGCGGTAGAGGGCATGGTTGCGCAGATCGCTGAGCAAATTAGTGGGTAGTGGAGACCGTGGGGGAGCTTCCTCGGGCACTGGCGGAGGAGCATGGGGCGGGTATTCCTGAAATAAAGGTATTAAATGGGTCTAGAAAAATTCATAGAATTCAGAAAAAATCACGGTAAAGTTTAATAGATATCTATCGTTAAAAATGCAGGTAAAGACGACGATTTTGAATATTTTTACTGACTGGTTTTAAACAACATCTTTTTTACAGCCTCAACAAAAAAATCAGGCTTTAAAATTAAGATACCTCACTGTCATCCGAATGGCCGCGGTAGACAATGTGACCGGTGGAATCCTCATGGACAATCTCCTCCGAGATTTCATGGTGAGCTGGCGGGGCGACGGCATGGATTTGGGTCGGGGCAGCTAAATTTGGGCATTTCGGTTTTAAAGGAGCCGGCAAGGCTACTGGTTTATGCAATATTTACGCAATATAGATCTCGACAACTACGCGCAGCGCCTAACCGCGTCTTTGAAAAGCACCATAAACCGCAATTCCTGATCAACCACGCGGTTCTCGAAGTGACATGTAGTGATGTGTCATATTTTCCATTTTCCAGTTCAAGATTCAAGAAAAAATATAAACTTTCCCAAAATTCATAGGAGCCACTTGACTTCTTAATCTTTTTAAATCCGCCTAAACCCACCATGCTCCTCATCCTTGAGCGTCGACTCGCTCTCATCGGAAGCGACACTGTGGTACGAGTTGTGCGAGTGGGTCGAGTGATGGGAGTGGATTGACTGGGCGGTGGCAGAAGATTTTCGGCTGGATACGGCGGATGGGACACGGGACTGAGGGGCTGATGGAGGTTGAGGTTGCGGGATAGGGTGGCTGTTGGCGGAGGCCGGCCAATCCGGCTTTGATCCGATTCCGCCCATCGTCAGGGTTGTGCGCTAGAAGGGCGAACGTTTTCTGCGAATTCTCACGGGACAGCGAACGAGAGAGAGATAGAGATAGAGAGAGAGAGAGCGAGAGCGAGAGAGAGAGAGAGAGCGAAAGAGACAAAGAGCTCGGAGGTAGATATGGAGAGAAAGAGCAAGAGAGTCATGAGAGAGACAGACAGAGAGCGAGAGAAACGGAAAGAGGGCAGAGCGAGGGAGTAGAGTAGTAGAAATACAGCGTAGAAAGGAGAGAGAGAGAGAGAGAGAGAGAGAGAGAGAGAGATAGATGGAGCGAGAGAGGGACAGAGGGGAGAGAGAGAGAGAGAGAGAGAGAGTGAGAGAAAACCAGTTAATCGATACCTGAGCCAAAGCCGAGTCAATCTTGGTGATCGTGCTATCCGAGGTATGGGAAGTGGCTTCAGAAGAAGCGGTCGATCGAGCACGAATCGAACGGGGCACCGATTGCTGAGAAGCAAGCGAGTCCTGGAATCCACCATTAGCTTTCCCTCTCCACCTTACTCGCTTGAACACGACGGCGTCGTCGGCGTGAATGTAGGCGAGCTTCTGCTCGACGTGTGCCTGCTCCTGATGGTGGGCGGAGATGACGTGCGACTCGGAGGTGTGCGACTCAAAGTGGGTGGCAGTGGCGGAGTAGACCTGCCAAATTTACTTGAAATACAGCTACCAAACTTGAAATAAAAAAAATGTTTTTTTTTTTGTTTCTTCTTCTTTTTTTTCATGTTTTTTGGCTTAAAATTGTAAAGAAAAGCTTTATTTTATCATTTTATAACTTAAAACTACATTTTAAACGAAATACACATCATCGAATTTTCGACGAAACACCGAGGTATTTCGATCAAAATCTTCAACGCTAAATTTTTTCCGGTTTTCTTGGTGATTTTATACTTCTCAAAAAAATACCGAATTTTCATAAAATTTAAAATATATTTAAATGCAAGCCGTCCCTCAAATCAAACATCAAAAATTTTCCATTTTAAACATGTTTCTTCGTTTTTAGATGGCTTTTCCAATAAAAAATCAGCTATGAAAACAGCATTAAAATACAGGTTCTGATATTTGCAAAGCAGGGTTCAGTTTAATTTTAAAAAATCCACCTGGCTACTCTGGACGTGCACCTCGTGGGACTCGTGATGAGACTCGACCTAAATCAAGGAAAAATTGCACATAAAAGTTATCGCTACGTACCCTAGATACGGTGGAGACCGGCGGCAGGGTGACCGCGCTGAAGACGGCGTTCAGAAGGCCTAAAAATCGAGGAATATACCGGAGAGTTTTAAGTTTTAATGTCAACGCAAAAACCCCATCCGTCACTTTTTCGAGTTCGTAAAAATGATTCACGAAGCCCGATATTGGCGCATAAAACGCACTGTCATTGTCGGCGGTCATCCTGGCTGGCGAAGGGCCGCTGCGAATTGCCCAAGTACCCTAAATAGCGTAACTTTTAAAGGGGTGATGACAGGAGAGAATTGGAAAACATAAAAGTGATGAAAAGCTGCACAAAATATGCTCAGTCTCATAGATGAGATTTTTGCCAATTTTGAGATTTTTTCGGAAATTTTTAGATTTTTACACCAGCATTTAAAAGATATATAAAATTCCTTTTCTTTACTGGTCAGAAAAAGTGTCTATACTTAAACCTTTATAAGTTAGAAACAGAATTTTAACATTTTCATTTTACACAAAGGAGGTAAAAAGGATGCAAACTGGAATCTGTTTTTTGAGAAGAAATTCTGCGGAAAAGCCCATCTAAAAATCGATCGATACCAAGTCCAGAGAACACCTCACAACGAACGAAACGCGCTAATCAGCGGTGCTACGGTAGCCCCGATGCAGAAAACGCGTCGGGTCGGCGGCCCCGGAATTGTGATAACGAGCAAAAAAGCTAGAAAGCTTTAGCATAACTGTTGGCAGTAGCCGAGCCGTCCAAAAAGTGCCTTGGAATAGGTATGGAAATCGGAAAATCGGACATTTCTTTCGTATACAGGGTGCTCCAATAAAAAAACACTCCCCTCTCACTCGAAGCAGAAGTGTCGGATCGGAATGGTAGTGATACCATCGGAAAGCCCTTCAAAAGGCGGGTTTGCAACAGTCTTCAAAACCAGGTTTTTATTTAACTGCGTCATTTTATCGCGCGCTTAAAGAAATGAAGGAGCGGTCTTTGCATCTAATTAATGGCGATTCCGGTCGTCTTATTTTATGAATTTGAGGCAAATTGGGTCGTACGCTACCCCCGAACACCCTGAAAATCTTAAAAATGGCTTGTAGAATAGCGCATTTAAATAAAAACATATTTATGCAGATTGCTGCAAACTGGCCGTTTGAAGGGCTTTCGAATGGTGTAACTGCCATTCCGATCCAATACTTCTGCGTTGAGTTAGTGGGGGGTTTTGTATTGGGACACTTTGTAGTCCATATCGTATGGCTCTTGAGGGAAGGGGGAAATTGCATACGAATCCGGATCTGTATCCGGACACTAAATGGAAAGTGCAAATCGTAGCTAAAAAATCGGGCAGCCGATTTTGAAATAGTTTTATATCGTTCTTTCAACAGCGCCATTTTTCCACGAATCGTGGAAAATTTGCATGCATTTCCGGTTTGAGAACACGCTCTGGTGAGAGACACGGACATTTCAAATGAAAATTTTTCACGATTGATGGATCACGGAGCTGTTGAGAGAGTCCCCTTAAAACGCCTGCCTGCTTCGTTGGCCTCCGTTTCACTCGTTTTACCGAAGTGCACAAGCCAGCAGGTTTTGCCACGTCCTAGACAGTAAAAACTGCAAGTAACTGCCAGTAAACCAACCAATTTTTCCACGGATCGTAAAAAAATGAATGACATATTCGGAATCAGCACAGAAAACCGCAGCGGATCGACTGCCGGATTAACCAGAGGTCAAACTCGAGCGGGTAGGGTCTCCTTGTAATTGGTCAACTCGAGTAACCACACCCACGGAAGATTCGATCTATGGGAAGTTCTAGCCGAAAAAGCAAAGATTTAAAGTTAACGTTTCAATACCCCTTCCAAAAACACAAAAACCAATGACAGGAATCAGAAAATGGTTTGCGAGCTGTGGAGGCGCTTCCGATGCAACCAGCAACCCTGGCATCGTGTCGATACCCGAAAAAAGAGGGACCGAAAGCTGTGATAATCAGGGAAAAGAAAGAAGAAGAAGAAGCCACACACACAGCCTCCCCTTCTGCCCTTCCTTCCATAGATAAGAAATCACCAAAAATGAGCCGCGGGCAGAGGAGTGGATCGTACAAATCACAAATGGATGGCCGGTCGGGGGTGCATTCTATTCTGACGGCCAGATGATGACATCATGGAGAGAGGAGTGGTAACGGATCAAAATTACAAGCACTGAAAAAGATCGGGGATGTCCCACGTCGCAGACAATTTCCGACAGAATGTTCCAGCAGCATCACAATATGGGGGAAGTTAAGAGCATGTTTAATACGTCGTTGAATGTGTCGTATATCAGATTTTAAAAACATGCTGCCATTTGGCATTAAAATCAAGTTTTTGAAGGGGCAAGGACAGCCCAGGGAAATTAGCATCACACGTTATTTGTCTTAAAATTGGAATTTTTCTGACGCTTTTTTATTCCGAATTACGTTGATGGTAGCGTCTTGGCTCGCCATCCAGTCTAGAGTGGATGATTGTGGAGTCCCTGAATGGGCAGAGACTGGGCTAGGTATTGTCATGGAGGGCCACGGCCAAGGCCTGCAAGGCCACGAATCGGCTTCAGATACTAGCCCAAGTCCAGATAGGTGTTTATTGGATTAATGCGAACCATTTATTAAACATGTCACTTATTGCAGAAACTGTTTAAGTTGTGACTGCAAGTGCAAACATCTAGATTGTGCGTTTTTCGTGGTTGACGGCCGGCTTGGGATGGAACGGTGCCGTAGGCTGAAAATGTTCTTACACTTATAAGAAGCGTGTTTATCGAGTCGTCCTGGCGGCGGCTCGTAGCATGGCTCATGCGATAGAGAATTGAATTCTGAACCAGATACGATGAAATCGAATTCTGCACGGGCGCGGGAGGCCACGCTTCCAAATGTCGTTTTTTGTATTTTTAATTTAAAAAATCATTGATCACCAGTCTGCAAAAACAAACTATCGTACCGTGTTCAGAACTTAATTCTGTATCGAATGAGCCATGTCGAACGATAAACCGATAAAGGTGGCGCTCCAACGTTTGACAAGTAACCGACCTTGATTTTGCAGATGTACCCTCCAAACATATCTCCCTGATATGATGGTAGCCAAACGCTACCATGGTCGGCCTTGCAAGCATAGCTAATCTAAATGCGAAAAACTAGGCCAATGGCAATCATTTGCTTCGTACAATTCCAGTGCGAAAGCCTAGCCGGCAGTGCTGCCGCACTACCGGCTGGGCTTTACTTTACCCCCACTCGCCAGATTTTTCGATGGTTTATCGAAACGCATCTTTAAAAGTAGACCAAAGTTTTGTTGGTTTGATTACCGGCCGGCAGGGGCGTACACGAATCCAATTTTTTTTTGGGGGCCACGCGAAAATTTCTGTCGAACCCCCCACTGCACTAAAATAGTGAAAATCGCTAAAACCAGCATTGCAACATCATTTCCAGTTCCGGCCACCCTTCAAACTGGCCTTCCTATTCCCAGAAACGGGCGCGACCAGGCTCAACCAAGCTCTAGTTCCGTCGTGTTTTCGAGTAGAATTTGGCTTGACACACACACCCGGACACACTGACGCCGCAATAAATCTATTATAACCGAGATTTTGGGCTGTCATGCGGATCTTGGGCCTACATTTCGATTCTCTAACGAGCGACGTCAAAAAAATAACCAAAATACCCCATAGCTATGTGCGCCCAACACACGCGTCAACTTCACGATCATTGGCGATCCATCGGTCCACTGGGCTTCCGGTTCTCCTTCGGTTCCGTTGTAGCCGATCACGTATCGAGGGCCCTCACTCACGCAGGAATCCAAATAATTACCCCTTTGGAAGGCCAGACCGACCAGATCTGAAAATGAAAGGTGAGCAGGTTCCCACAGCCCCATGCTTAAAGCGCACGTTCAGGGAGGGGTCGTGTACTCGTCCCAACGTGTACACCCTATGGACGTAGGGACCGCGCGCACGGCCTGCCCGTGCTGTGACAGGCCATTCCCCCTCCTTTGCGACGTGGGGCGCCCCTCGCCCCCTCGCCAGGTTGTAGCTGTGGCTGACTGGTATCCATCCGCGCCTCCCGAGCGGGGGCCCGGGTTCGACCCCCAGTCGCGGCAAAAGCCTTTGCTTTTTTCCAAAAAAAAACGTCTCTGAACGTGCCCTTTAAAGAGATGAGGACGGCATCTGTTGAACCCCCCTTGGGGAGGGGGGGCTTCAACAGGTCCCGCGGCGAGAGAGGGCGCCCAGGGGAGAGGCGCAGAGACATTTTCTTTCCCGCGCGTAATTGATTGATTTATGCCGCCCCTATCCCTTTAAACTCGAAGTGGCAGGCCATCTCAGATTTTTGGGGTTTCCAGCTTTCGGTGGGCACAGACTTTCGTTGTACCGGGCTCCGGTGTTCGCGCCGTAGCTCAATTTTTAGCACTGCTTTACCCATTTAAGAGTCCCCCGGGCACCCGCAAAGTATTTCGGACGGCCCACCAAAGACAAAATCGTTTTCCGCCTCGCTGTGAATCGACACAAGATTTGCATTCATTCTTTGGCATCGCAATTCGGCGTCTTCCATCGTGATCGTCCCGATTACCGAGAAGTCCGACGGCTACAATGTTTCTGGCTATTAGGAATATTTTTGGATGAGAAAGATCTCGATCGAGACAAAATTTCGATGATTACCGGAGCGTAATAGCAAAAATCGGTGAATCGATTGTAGCTCCAACCGGCTGGGCATTCTGAAAACTTTGGGGATGGTTTTTAAAAGATAAGTACAAAAAAAAATTTAAGCGAGAAAATTAGCAGTTATGAATCTCCACGGAATTTCGGAGAGGCTGCACGTACCGAACAACGTGCGGCTTGGGAAAGTGCAGATGGATGGTATCTGCTCCATGCAATCCACCGGATACCATGATGAATCGCCACCTCCGCTGCTGTAGGCAGCACAATTCTTTCCGTCATCGGCAGTGCCTGCAAAAGCGGCGTCAGCGAAAAGGTTCTTGGTATCTGGCGAGCGCGGCGATTGGCATGCGGAAGCCATGCAAAGCATCCGTTTTTTTGCGCTCACATCAGAAGTGAATCTAATCTGTAACCTATAACCGCGTTGCTCACCGTTCATTTTCAAACCTTCGGTCGATTTTTCGAGAACAGCGTGGAGGTTGGACAATAATGCGATATGTCATTTTGAAGAGCTTTCGATGCTGTACAAGATAAATAGATTGATTTTGTTGACAAAAGGTTATATAGGTTTTTACAAGGCTTGAAAGTTATAGCCAAAAAATGACGATTTCTTGTTTCGCTCAAAAACTCTGCAGAGAAGCCGCGCAGAGGCTTTATGATATTAGGGATCAATTCAGGTCTTTAAGCTCGACCGAATGTATCCTGAAAGTTTCCGCTAAAAAATTACACAGCGGATATAGAAACTGTAAAAAAATTGGTCGGCTTCGATGTGTCGACTTTTCCGAATCTATTAAAAAAACATTTGTTTGCCTAGGGGTCATGAAGGGGTTGGAAATTATTCTGGAAGCTTTATCAAAACAATGTAATCATGCTTGTTCTTCTGTTAATTATTGAAGTGAAACGTCCGGTTTGATAAGCAGAAACGGCCTAGACTATTCCAAAGTTTGATAAGTTGTGTGATTTTTAGCGGAAATTTTTACTATACGTTCCGTCGAACTTCAAGAACTAAATTGGTTTGCGCGGCTCTCTGCAGAGTCTTTGAGCGAAACAAGAAAATCGACACTTTTTGGCTCTAATTTTCAAGCCTTGTAAAAACCTATATTACCTTTTGTCAACGAAATCAATCTATCTATCTTGTACAGCTTCAAAAGCTCTACAAAATGACATATCGCATTATTGCCCAACGTCAACGTTGTTTTCGACAAATTGACCGAAAGAAAAAACGGACATGACTTTTTGTAAAACTTAATAAATCGCCAGAATCGAAATTTCTGCGTGCCGCTAGAGGGGCAACTTTTTTTTTCGAAAGTCCCGTCACTAACAAATACTGGTCGATGGATTGAGACATCAAATCCTGATTTGTCTTCTGTTTCGCACTTATGGCCTGCTTGGATTACCATTGGCCCATTTTTGGTAAGTCAGTGTGGTGCCATCGGCATACCGCCAAGTTCCGTTGAAGCGTCGCACGCCCAGGTGGGCGCGGGGCCCTCCTGAAAACTTGGCTACCAATTAACATAGCGTACACCCAAGTCGCATGGCATTAAAAATTAACTCGGAAGAAAGAAAAACAAATTTCAATATTACCGATATTTGCCGCGATTTGATTTTCGAGAGCATTGCCCGGTTGAGCCAACCGTCCGCCCATTAGTTCACAGATCGGCTGGCCTAGCTGGTGGTCAAATGAAGATTTTCCTGAAAAGATTAGATTTGCGTATCAAGGCACCCGAAACGCGTAAACAGCATCTATGTATATAACAGCCGCTCCGGAACCCGAGTCAATTTCGTTTTTCGCACGATTACATGATGATGGCGTTGCCTAGGTGTCCCGATAAAACTTGTACCCGGCCATCGACGTAAAAATTTTGGATCCGAATGATAGTTACACAATAGAAAGCCCTACAGGTCGAGTTTGTAGCTTCATAATCATGTTTTTGATCCAACAGCGAAGTTTTCAGACCTATTTAGGAAAATTTTCCGGTTTTCCTGGTTGCCCGACGAGCTAATTTGCTTCAAAATCTTCAAATAAAACGGCCAAAAACGTGCGGTTCGTTAATGTTTTTCGATCGCTGATAAATGGTGCGTTAAAATAAAAACATGGTTATTAGGATGCGTGCGCCCCCCGCCGTTTCAAGGAGCTCCGCAAGTTGTACCGATCATTCCGATTCTATCCTTCAAAGGCGGGGGCTTGCTTGGGGCGCCCTGGAGCTCGTTTAGCCTTATCCATAGTAAAATATACCGCTATACGCCTGGATGTAACATTGATCCTGGTAAAGATACGCTCCGCCGGGGCAATAATTGGCCGTCGTCACCCACGTCAACGAGAAGATCGCCAGCAAATGTAACATGGCCTTCAACTAGGAATTGTCGGAATCAACTATAATAATTTTGCTGTGGCGTCCGTCTGTCTGTCTGTCCGTCCATCTGAATCCAATTATAACTCGACGGGGAAAGGAGCTAGAGCTTAGGTCTCTTCGGATTCGAGTCGGGAAACTCCTTAAATGATCAAAACATTATGAAAAAGTTTTTGTTTAAATAAAAATAATTAACTTTGAAAGTGGCGCCCTAATAGAACGAGTGGGGCCCTCTCTCCTGCAGGCCACGCCCCCCTTCCCCAGCCCCTCCTCACCAGTCCCCTTCCCGCGCCCAGATCGCTTTTTTTTTCAGGTTTTTTAATACTTTTTAATTCCTTTTATATATTTTAATTGATTATTTAATCATTGGAAAGTATCAAAGCCATCAGGAAGGTATTTAGGTAGTTTTTGAAGGGGATTTCGGCTATGGGGGTATCTGAAGCCATCAGGAAGGTAGCGAAGTTGTTTTTTATGGGGGTTTCGGCTAGGCGAGGCGTCTAAAGCGATCAGGAAGGTATCTAAGTCGTTTAGGGATCTAAGGGGGTTGGCCATAGGAGGTATTCGAAGCGATCGGCGTAGGTGGTGGTGTAGAACATGGAGGGTAGCCCGAAGACCAGCCGATTATAGCCGCGAAGCGGCTGTAATCGGCTGGTAACCAATGTATTGTTAAAAAGGAAAAAGAGAGGCTCGCATAAATTTGGGGGGAAGGGGTTCCGGGGGGGGTATCAATTTTTTTCCTGGCGGTGCCCGGTTGACTTAGTAATCAAATATAAAGTGTTTTCACATTATTTTTACTAAATTTTAACTATCTTTTAAGTAGAAAAACTTTCAAAAAAAAAGTTATAAAAGTGTTTGAAAAAGTCGAATGTTTGGTCGTTTTGGGTCTTCCCCATCCCCGCTAATCCTAAAGGTTCTAAGCTTTTTGCGCCCTAAAATCTAATTTTTTTGATTGAAAATGTGTGTAGTGTTTATGCTCAGGAATAGTAATGTGTAAAGCAGTAATAGGAATACTGTGCAGATGCGCTGTCGCATTATCTGGGACGCCATGGACGACAGAAGCGCCGCCTTTATTAAGGTGGCAGACGGCGGCTGGACCAAGTGACACGTATCTAAAGTACCACGTTCAAATGCCCAATTTTTACATTTACAGTGCCTCTTCAGTCATTTCGCCTGCCTTATCTTTATTAGCACGCAAGCCACCTTTATGGCCTGTTATCCGTGGCAGCCGAGTCCCGGCCACGTTACGGTAACGGGACCACGTTGTGAATCACCGGCCGTTTATTGAAACACCAGACCGGTTCTGCGAATTTGAATCATGAATCTGGAATCATCTCATAAATTTTTCATCTGACCGAATCATCTTCACCGACCTTTCGTTCCACTGGGTTATCCTCCGACGGAATTTGATCTCACCGAAAAACCACATCAGGGTCGCGACGACGATGATGACGTCATTGTCATTAGCCTTGTCGTTCATGGGTATGGTCTATTTCCGTCCAGCACAGTTAAGAAACAGCAATCCAGGGGTTGGGGGTGTCTTTAACAAGGAGTCGTTCTTAGGTGCTTTTGGAGTTTCTGGACAGGATCTAGCTAGTTCGAGAGAGAAAAAATTTCTGAGCAAGATCCCGTGTCAAAAGTGTTGATCGATAAAGGTGTGTTAGGCCCTCACTCACAAAGTAATCAAAATAATTACCCCTCTGGAAGGCCAGACGGACCAGATCTGAAAGTTAAAGGTGAACGGATTCCCACAACCCCATGCTTAAACCCAAAGTGGCAGGCCATCTCAGATTTTTGGGGTTTCCAGCTTCCGGTGGGCACAGACTTTCGTCGTGCCGGGCTTACCCATTTAGGAGTTCCCCGGGCACCCGCAAAGTAACGATACCCACCAAAGACAAAATCGTTTTCCGCCTCGCTGTGAATCGACACAAGATTTGCATTCATTCTTTGGCATCGCAACTTGGCATCTTCCATAGTGTTCGTCCCATTTCAAATTTAAAGGGACAATTACAGTTTTCATCCGCGCGCGCCGGTGTCTCCTTCTGCTGCACAACAGCCACAGCTGGTTCGCCCGCCAATTTTGCCGGCGAAAAGGTTCGTATCCTTAGACTGTATAAGTTTTAGCGATAACTTTCTTGTTTCTCAAAAATTTGCTTTGAAACTTCGGCGGCACTTCATTTTTAGGGATCACAGTAATTTATTGGGTCGCGGAAAAACAAATTGTTATTAGGAAATTGCAAAAGAATCCCGTTGTTTTGGTCCAGGTTTCCAGGAAATATCACCCCGCTGGCGTTCTATGACCATGCTTTTGGACTACACACTTCGCGCAAAAGTTCAGCAGCATGATCATAGAAGGCCAGCGGCGAGGATCAACTTTTTGCTGGCGATCCAGGCAACGTCTGGAATATAAATCCTGTTTATATTATTTAGTTTTGTTTTCAAACTAAATTTGAAAATCGGACGAATAATTTTCTCAGGACCCAAGTTCGCCGGCTTGCTCAACCGCCCCCGTCCATTCTCCGGGAAGCGGATGTGTTACGGCGGTGGGTAATTGTGCTGGTGCTCGGTTCTCATTTTAAAAAGCAGATGGGTACTTGCGTATTCCCGGGGGAGGGTTGGCCGAAGTCTAGAATTTTTTATATAATTGGTGGAAGTGTTTCTAGATTGTTTATACCTATTCCTAAACATAAAAGCTTTACAAAATTTAATTAAAAAATTTAATTTTAGGTCGAAAACCAATTTCTTCCGGCCCATAACTGACCAAATTTTCGACTTTTTTTAAGAGTTTTTCGAACTTTTTAAAAAGTTTTTCCGATTCAAATAGGCGTAAATTTTGCTAAAAACAATGTGAAAACACTTTATATTTGATTACTATCCCCACCAGGGCCGACAGAAAAAAAAATTAGTTCCCCCGGGAATACGCAAGTACCAGCAGAGATGTTTTACGTCTACTTTTGCAGCGGGTGTCGGCCTCATCGTCGTCTCTAAAATGCTCAACTCCCCCGACGGCGAGTATTACGGTATGTGAACAAAACCTCCATTTTTGAACAGGAAACGATAAAGCTCGATCAGATAAAGCGTTTCCAGTTGAAAAAACAATTGGGAAATTTAAAATAAGAAAGTTATGACGTTTCAATGATATTTTTGCTAAGGACTGTAGGCTACGCAACACTCCTATTGCCGCATTCTAGCGTGTGCGCTCACTGCCAGCGCTTACGTACTTATCTAAAAGCATTTATAATTTTTAAAACTAGGATTTTCAGCATAGAATAGATAAATAACAGTTAGTTGTGGCCTCCAAGATTGTCAGGCAAGGCGGGCCGTCGCTTCGGATGGGCTGCCACTCCACTCTTTCGAAATGGGGGCGCCCCCGGCCGCTTCGTCGGCCTGTACGAGCTCGCACCCATCCGAAGCGACTAGGCCCCGGGTGGCACGAAGCCTTATTTTTAGGCTCAAACTGGGTGTTCACCGGCAAACCCCTGGAAAAAAGCGATGATTTTCATCAACTTTGATGTTCATTTTAAAAAGCCTATAACTTTGTCCAGAAGCGTTTCCCAATAGTTTTTTCATCTGGAAACGCACAAACTCATCGAGCTGGATCGATTCGAGTCGAAAAATCGACATTTTGAGAACATACCATAAAGTAAAATTTAGCCCAAATTTCATGTGCTCCTTCCGGGTTAGAAGGGGAGCAAATTCTTTTAATTGAGCCGGGGCCTGCCTAGTCGCCAATTAAAATAGACTTCAATAATTTTTGTGGTAGTTTTCGAGCACAAAAACATGATGAAAATTTTATTATTGAAATATCTGAAAATTTTTGTCAATTGTGAAACAAAATGTTGCCCAGTTTTGGTCCTTTTTCAACCGCTTTGACCAAAAACAAACTTTTCCCAAAGTTGTATAATTTTATTTAAAGTCATTGTGTCTTAAAAAAACCGTACAAGATGCTATAAAGATTTTGCTGATAAGTGATGCTTCGTTGCAAAATGGGGCGGATTTTTAGTGGGGGACGGGAACCAAATTTTTCCCCTGTGTTTCTCTACGGCTCGATAACAAAATAGCAATCATTTTTATAGCATCTGACATAGTTTTTAGGTATAAAAATATAAAAAAATAATTAAATTGTCCAACCAGCTTTGACCTTCTGGTCAAAAATTTATAAAAAAACGACCAAAAAGGTCAAAATTTTCGAATTTTAAAAAGTATTTTTATAACTTGGTCCCCTCCCCCGTTAAAAAGCCCCCTACCCCTTCGCTAGCAATCCAGAACACCTTTCAGGTCAAATATAGCGTCACCAGTTCCTTTTAGAGCGATGGTTGTGTGACCGCTGAAGTGCGATCCACCACACCCGCACCCAGTTCATCCTCCGTTGAGGCAAATACTTTCTTACTTATTTTATTTACTCTCTTTCTTTATACTACTATTACTTTATACTACCTTCTTTAGAATGGAGGCTCAGCCTCCGAAGGACAATGGACCGCTCATTTGCATTTTCAGCCCCTTCTACCGCATCGGTCAACTCGCATGTCCGTCGCAATTCATCCCGGGCCCCGCGCCGCCCGCGCAAGAAGAAGGACAAGAAGTCCAACAAATACGGCATAGCAAGTTTTGAGTAGCATGCTTTTTCTGGTTCGGTTCGTATCGGAGCCGGGGCGAATTTTATTTCCCAGTAATCTCCTCTATGCCGAAATACAGACTATCCGATCGGGCAGAAATTTTGTCCCGATCATGCGGAATAGAACGCATAAGATCCTGCGGTTCTTTAGGATTTCCGTGAGGGGGGAACGAAATTTTTTCGGCCCAAGCCGAAATTTTTTTCTAAATAGCGCATGCGTTCTAAATGGTTGTTAAGCTATTCCTGAGCATAAAAACTACCCAATTTTAATTAAAAAAATTTAATTTAGGTCTGAAAAAATTCTACTTAGAGCCTTTAGGATTAGCCGGGGAGACCCAAAAATAAGCTAAATTTCAGACTTTTCAAAACATTTTTTCTAACTTTTTCGAAAGGTTTTTCTACTTTAAATATACAGGGTGTCCCAAAAAAAAAACCGCCTCTAGCGGCGCCGAGACGTGTCCGATTCTCGCCGTTTAGGTATCTATCGAGAAAGCTCTCGAGAAGGCGAGAAGAGCATGGAGGGGTTCATTTTTTATTATGTATTTTTATTGGCGAATGTTGCTCTCAAAATCCATGAAAACGGCAGATATACGCGAGATCCCCATGGTAGGGGCCTGTGTGTATTGAAAAAATGCCTGTTTTTAGAAAAACGCTTCTATCAGACGGATCAGAATAAATCTTCGAAAATGAAGCCCACTTGTTTTCTGGCCTTTTCACTTTGCCTTTTCGCGGGCGTTCGAATGGCATAAAAATCATCCTGATCTGAGCTTCCCACGGACCGCTAGAGGGGGGGGGGGATTGGGACACCCTGTAGTTAAAAGTTACTAAAAACAATGTGAAAACCCTTTATATTTGATTGCTAGGTCAACCGGGAAAACCAGTAAAAAATTTGGTTTCCCCCGGCCAAAATCCTAAAGAACCGATCCGTTTCTGCTCTCCCCCCCTTTGATCAGCTTTCCCTCTTCCCAGATAAAGCGAAAGAAGCAAAAAGGGCGTGAAAAATTACAAAATTTTTCGAATATTTTCATAACCTCATTTTTTTTCTAGTGCCGATTCTGTGCTCAGCCGGGCAAAGATACGTTGGCCTCGCTTCGTCTCTGCTCGCAATGTGTGACAAGGACGAGGTGAGCTTAGCATTGCGCATTCTACTGGCCTTGTCTAGAGCGTTCGTGTTGAACCCGCACCCCCGTTGTGTGGGAACTAATGCTTGTGTGTTCATGCTTCAGCTCAAATCGGATGAGTAGGTGTTTCAGTTGCACCCGGGGTGTCTTTAAAAGCTTTTAAATTCTTTTAAAAGCACCCCGGGGTACAAAAAAGCACCCGGGGTGCTCTCTTTCGGGTGCTGTCCAACTAGCTGAGAGCAAGAAAATTGCACACCGAGCGGGGGTCGAACCGCGCTGGTTCGCCCTACAGTCCCACGCGCTAGCCACTATACGACAAGGCGACGTGGGGAAGGGAACCAGAGGCGCCCCAAACGCCAGAGGGTCAGTAAGGGGCACCACTAATGACGCCTCTCTCCGCGCGTTCTTGGGAAGCCGCACCCTCGGGGTGACAGTGTTCCAGAGTTCTGGCAGTCTTTAAGGTTTTTGAATAACCCAATTCAACTGCGCTCAGATGTATGTAAAGATCGTGCAACGGTCAGATCAAAGGGCGCGTCCCGGTGTCTGTAGTACGCAACGCCCCTAAACACCGTTCATGCGGTTCACAGTAGAGATGTTATGCATACCGACGCGACGTCGGGTTACCATGCAAATTAGGATGCAAAGTACACAAAAAAACCTGATTTGCGATTTGTTCTTTGCACCTTAATTTGCATGTTAACCCGATGTCGCGTTGGTATGCGTAACATCTCTTTTTTACAGTATCTTGTGATTTTAGACACCTCCTCTACTGGCCATGTTTTAATAACCTCATGGTTATTCTAGGTACGGGCATGATTTGCTCTCACAATGTATTCGATTTTCTAGGCTCACGATGTGGCCTTTGTTGGTTCGACGCTCTGACTCCCGAAAACCGTGCCGCCCTCGAGACCTACCGCTCCGAGAAACTCGCCGAGAGCCAATATTGATTGATGGCTTTGCTTTTCGATTGGATTACTGGGGAATAAATGGTGGTAGAAAGGAAGCTAAATGGAACCCGCCGGGGTCACAAACAAGCATTACGCCAAGAACTACACATTCTCACTCTCTCACTCCAACTCTCTCGCTCTCACTCCCTCTCTCTCGCTCTGTCGTTCTCTATCTCTCTCTCTCTCTCTCTCTCTCTCGCTTTCTGATCCAAGGTACTTTTAGGTCATTTTCTGGTGATTTCTCTCTGTATTTTCGAGTTATGGTAACATTTTTTGTCGGGATCATCCTTGGGAAGACGTCGGCGCTCAGAATC